ATATTATAATAAAATTTGTTAAGTTTACCGCCTAATACAGATTGAATGATATTTTTTAAATATGTATGCAATTGTATTTACAGGTCAAATAATGCTACTAGCATATGGTATTGTTGATTCAGAGAACGATGTTGCTTGGTCGTGGTTCTTTGAGCAATTCAAGGAAGCATGTGGTCAGAGGGAAAACATGTGCATTATTTCAGATAGGAATAAGAGCATCATCAAATATGTATCGAGAGTGTATCCTACGGTGCCCCATTTTGCTTGTATATGGCATCTATGGAACAGCGTATATAAGAAATTCAAAAAGATTCATTCAAAGTTGAGCGAGATATACTTCTCGATGGAAAAAGCATACACTCAGGATGAATTTGATAGTCTAATGGAAAAGATGGAGAAGGTAGATATTCAGGTGAAAGAATACTTGGAATTAGCTGGATACGAAAAGTGGGTTAGGTTGTATGCACCTGTTAACCGGAGATGGACCATAACGTCAAATATTGCTGAATCAATCAATACCGCACTTGTATTAGCAAGATAATTGCCAATATACGACTTCCTAGAAGAAGTTAGGAAGATATTTGGACGTTAGAATTGCAGCAATCGGAAAGAAGCTTCACACATGTACACAACACTTGGGAAACAATACCAGGAGATGCTTACTTTGAATGAGGCAATGTCTACACGTATGACTGTAAGTTTTGTTTTTGCTTTACGTCCTTGCATCATGTATTTAGGCCTGGTATAACATGTATTTATTTCTGATACAATTTCTACTAATAACATACTGCATGCTCATTGTATTATAGCACTTGTGCATTTATTCTGTTTTATGAAACGGTTTTAAAAACTGGTTATTATATGTATACATTACTTGTTTATACATTTGCATTTCATTGGTTGTATTCAATGGTTTTTGTCAATACCCGGAATTCCCACCGTCGGGACCGTGATGGCGCCTAACATTTCACTTGCTAGGCAAGCCAACGTTAGAGAACCATTAAACCAAATCCTTATTTCCATTCAGTAAATAACAATAATTAGCTAAGATGAAATATAATAAGTGAGGAATAATTTAAAAAAACTGTATTAATTACTACCACCCGGATCTGGAGTCACAATTCAAGAGCATTCTAGAATTTACTACAAGTAATAGTCTGAAAGAAATACAACTGTTTGAATGAAAGAAACAGTAAAACAGGAGGATAGATAGGGACTTCAAGGTGTGTGAACGCCGACAGATCTACCTTGAGTCTCCGGATAGCAGGTCCAACAGCTAAAATCTCGATCAACCCGAGTCGGTACCAAAATTTGCATAGAAAGTGCAGAGTGTAGTATCAGTACAACCGACCCCATGTACTGGTAAGTATCGAGCCTAACCTCGACGAAGTAGTGACGAGGCTAAGGCAAGGCACCTAAAAATCAACTTGTATAATTTAACAGTGTATATACAAATAACAGTATTGAAGAGCTAGACAAGAATTATCGGAAGGGGAAACATGCTGGTGGAAATACGAAATAAAGAGCTACGGCAGAATGAGAACCGGAACAACCAATATACTATGAATCAACAGGAGCATAAATACAGTAAAGGAAAAATGCACGGCATCACTCTTCGTGCTTTTACTCTCAATCTCACCATAAAATTAATAGAAATGGTACGACATCACCCTTCGTGCATTAACTCTTATATCATGGCACGACATCACCCTTTGTGCTTTTACACTCACAATATGGTACGGCATCGCCCTTCGTGCATTAACACTCAAAATATGGCACGGCATCACCCTTCGTGCATTAACACTCACAATATGGCACGACATCACCTTTCGTGCATTAACACTCTCCCTTACTATAATGCAATGCATAAATAACAACAGGGAGATAGAATAATAAGTACAAGCCTTACTTCAATATTTGGTTCCACAATATCAATCTCAACTTTGAAATAAATACTCAATTATCACCAGAAAATTCGTAAACATGATAAGAACGATCAATTTAACAACACTAGTATAAACACGTAGCAATTAGGCATAGAAAATAGACAATATAAGAAAAACGGAAGAAATATGGAAAACAGGTAAATTGGCGGCGGATAAGTACTCGTCACCTCACATATACGCCGCTCAGATGAATTTTACATAGCAAATAATCTAAGGTTCATAATTCCCTCAAGTCAGGGGTAGACACAACACTTACCTTGCTACGAAGGCCACTTAATTCTCAATCACAGCTTTTCTTCTAGAATTCACCTCCAAATCACACGTATCTATTCAAAAATGACTCAATAATATCAAATATTGCTAAAGGAATTAATTATATTGCATAAATTAAATTTCTCAAATTTTCCTTCAAAAAGTAGAAAAATCAATTCTAGGCCCGCTTGGTCAAAACCTGAGGTTCGGACCAAAATTCATTTACCCCCGAGCCTGAATATATAATTGGTTTTGGAATCCGACCTCAAATTGAGGTCTAAATTCCCAAATTTTTAAAATCCCTAGTTTCTACCCTAATCCCTAATTCTACCATGAAAACTCTAGATTTTAGGTTAATAATTCATAAAATTTAATGGGTAATTGAAAGAAAATATTTTAGAATCACTTGCCAACACTTTGGGGAAGAAAACAACTCTTGAAATCGCCTCTAGTCCGTTTGGTTTTTGAGAAAAATAAATGGCCAATTCTCATTTTTGGATTCTGTTAAGTGCTGGGCGACAGTGTTCATCGCGATCGCGTGAACACTGTCGCGTTNGAAACACCAGATTTTCTTAAGTCTAAAACATCTCGTGGCCTATCCGAAACTCACCCGAGCCCTCGGGGCTCCAAACCAAACATGTACACAAGTCTAAAAATATCATACGGACTTGCTCGCATGATCAAATCGCCAAAATAACACCTAGAACTACAAATTGAGCACCAAATCGAATGAAATTTTCAAGTTAGCTTTAAAATTTCTGTCTTCACAACCGGACGTCAGAATCACGTCAAACCAACTTCGTTTCTCACCAAATTTCACAGATAAGTCATGAATGATATATTGGACCTATACAAGGCTCCAGAACTAAAATACGGACCTGGTATCAAAAGGCCAAACATCAACCAATTCTTAAAAATAATTAATTTTCAGACTTTTAATTTTCATTAAAAATTCATAACTCTAGTTAGGGACCTCCGAATTCGATTTCGGGCATACGCCCAGGTCCCATAATTCGATACGGACCCATCGGGACCGTCAAAACATGGATCTGGATCCGTTTAAAAAAATATTGACCGAAGTCAACTAAAATCAATTTTTAAGGCAAAAATTCTTATTTTCATCAATTGTCAACATAATAATTTTTCGAAAACACGCTCGGACTGCGCACGCAAATTGAGGAGGATAAAAATGAGATTTTTAGGGCTTAAGAGAGCAGAATCGAGTTTTAAAACATAACATGACCTTTTGGGTCATCACAGTTTTGTTTCAAATTGGATGCATTTCCTAGCAGATAGACTATATATTAATGTATATCAATGTATTCCTCAGTTAAATGCGTTCATCTTTAATAGTGTGGCAGTCTAAATATAGTCTGTATTTCGTTGTATTCCGTATATTTTACTATATTTCACTGTATGTCATTGTATTTCATACATACATATATTATATTTAGATTTCTGAAAGTTTAATATTTGTTGACATGCTACATATTTAAACTTTTTTTTTGTATACATGTATAATGTATTTAATAAGTCTATTCTTTGATATATATAGATGACTTTTACAAATGTTCAAAACTTATATTTCTTTGTTTAATGTAGATTGTACCTTCGAGTGAACACTTGCATATGGTGAACGATGAAGGAAGGCATTACATCGTTTGCCTCCTACAGAAAGGGTGCAGTTGTGGGCGATTCCAAGTTGACGAATTACCATGCCCACATGCTTGGGCTGTATTGAAAAGCAAGTTTCTAATGCCAGGAGATTATTGCCCAAACTATTACAAACCAAAGTCTGTTGTAATGACATACGAGGTGCCCGTGTATCCGTTGCCTTACCGAAATGAATGGAATATAAAAGCACATATATCAGAGGAAGTTGTCTTACCACCCAAATGGAAAAGACCTTCTGGAAGGCCAAAGAAGAATCGCGATAAGTCGTTCAGTGAATTGTTGTAGAAGAAAAATCAACATTCGTGTAATATTTGTGGGCAGGGAGGATATAATAAGCGTACTTGTAGAAATGCTCCACGTAGGAATTAGTTCATGTTCTGATTTCAATTAATGCAATAACGATATGTCATAGATTTCTTCAAATTTTATATTACATATTGATTTATTGGTGTATTGGATTCTTGCGTGATGAATCTTTTTAGTACAGTTTACTAAGAATATATTTTAGTAAATTGTTGAATACATACTGCAGATATATTTAAATACATATGAATATATACTGCCAATATATTTGAATACATATATACATTTGTTGAATACATATGAATACATACTGCTGAATACATATGAATACATATATACATCTGTTGAATACATATGAATACATAATATTGAATACATAGTGCAATACATATATATATATATATATATATATATATATATATATATATCTGTTGAATACATATGAATACATACTACTGAATATATACTGCTGGACAAAACAGTCAAGCAAAGTGAAGCTTTGAAATTATATAATTACATTGAATACCGTTAAATACAGTGAAATTATTGAAAAAATAGGAAAAACTAAAAATAGTGAATACAGTGAAATACATGGAATACAGGGAGATATATTGAATACAATGAAAATAAACAGTATACATATCTAATAAATATCTTTAAAACAATATAGAAAAAAACAAACACAGTGAATATAGTGCATAAAGTGAATACATGAATTGTAATGCAAATTTACTGCTGAACATATATTGGAATAACTTAATTGCTATTAATAAAAAATACATCTGAATACATATATAATACTAATTAAAAAAACAAAAGAATGCATACTGAAAATACACTGAATAAATGATGTTGGAAACTTATTGATGGAATTAAGTGAAACACAGTGAAGCTTTAGATAAAGTGATACAGAAAAAACCGATATCAGTTAACAGCTTAACTTAAAGGAAGTTATATATTCCTTCATCAACATCATAAAGACAAAAAAGACATTCATGTATTCTAAAAACAAAAAGATTGAGTAAAACCATCATGTATTATGTAATAAGTTTCAAAAACTATTCTCACAGAAGACTGTTCTTCACAGAAAACTATCTTCACCAAAACTATATTCAAAAACTATCTTCACAGTAAACTATCTTCAAAAACTATCTTCACCGAAAACTATTCTAAAACTATCTTCACAAAAGTATCTGAATCTGCCATTTGTCTAATAATCATTGCGGGTGCTTCATTGTCGCTTATGGCATCGGCGTCTATCTTCCGCATAGCATAGTCCCAAAGGATGGCACCATATCTTTGGTGGAGTAAATTGGCATAAAATGTTATTTGTGGAACCAATCCATAAGTGCTCAAATACTCTGTGTATGCCGCGACATGCAACCCACAATCCATGAAAATGTAGATTGACACAATTAAATAAAACTCATATTATTAGTATTATAAATGATACAAGAATAAGAAAAGGGATTGAATTCATACATGCTCCCAGCCTTTTGTTGAGGCACATTCGAAATAAAAACAACATCAAAGGGATCAGTATGTGCCTTGTCATTGTATGCTGGTTCACGAGACCAATCTATGCCTTGCTTATCTCTGTAGAAACCACTGATCGATAGGTACAGAGGTAAAAGCTTAGCAAGCTTATCTATCTCAGTACCCACATAAGCATCATGGCCTGCTGATCGGTAGGAGTTACATACGTTGATATATCTCTCCTTAAATGAGATAACTGCCAATATTCAATAAAGTTTGTCCTTCAAGTTGACTAGTATCAAGACATTATCAATCGTATGCCATGGTATATTAACTAGCAATTTGTAGCCCCTTATGTATTCACATATAACATCTTCTTCCGTGGCTACACTTGCATTACTATCTGTATCATTATACTTGTCGAATATTTCAGCAACTCTTGTCTTGAATATACAATCAACAGTTGTATATTCTCAGGCAGTAAAATATAACATCAATATGCTGTATATAAAATTGAATACATAGCGTCAGTACATTGAATTAAAAACAAGGAAAATAAACTTCATTGAAGAAACTGAATATATACAGGTATTGTGTATTGAAGAAACCCAACATAGAACTAATTACTTGCTGAAAACAAATTGAATATAGTGCATCCAGTTAAATATCTACTGATGAATACAGGTAATTGTTTAACTGTGCATACAGGTAAATACATACTATTAAAAAAATGATGCACTAAATAGTGTATACAGTTAAATACATACTAATGAATACATACTACACATAACAAATTGCTAGATATAGCATTGAAAAAATAATGAAGTTTGAGATAAATTGTTATCATTAATTATAGTGCATACACCAAAATATATTGAATTCAATGAAAGCAGAGAAAACACTAACATACATTGAATATAGTATGTTAATGTATTTTTGTTAATATAGAATACATCTGAATACATTGTGTTCAAAAACATGAATACAAAATTTATATGACAAGAACAAAATAGTGAAACACAAATATTGACAAACCATGTTTAAAATATGAAATAAACTGAATGTACAAGTGTTATATCTTACATCGCCATTCCATAGTTGACCGTCAAATGAGAGAAGGTAAAACCAATTTTTTGAAGTGACTTCATGAACTCCAAAATCCAACGGTATAGGCAGTGTTGACTTGTATTTCTTGTAATGGTCTTCTTTATCCTTTCTACAAGAATTTGGAAAAAATATTATATTCATATAATAATTGATAAAAACCATACATTATTGTCATGACCCAAAACCTAACCTGTCTGATGGCATCTATCGTGATGCTAGGCAAGCCGACCTATCCAAAACACTTTCAAAATTTAACAGATATGAACTAAGACATTTAAAATAAACGGAGATTTTCATAAAAATGGGGGTAAAACCCAAAAATAACATAAGTGCAGAAAAATAGCCCAACATCGGGGTGTCACTGAATCATGAGCATCTAGATATATAGTCTAATAAAACAGTGTCTAAGTATCAATACATAAAAGAAGGAAAATATAGAAGGAGAGACAGGGTCTACGGACGCCGGCAGCTACCTCGTAGTCTCCGGTATTCGATCGCGCACGAACTCAACGACCTCCATGATCAAACACACTTGGATCTGCATATGAAGTGCAGGGTGTAGCATGAGTAAAACTAACTCAATAAGTAACAGAAATAAATAAGGAACTGAGAAGGTACTGACGAGCTATACAATTACAGTTCATTTTCATTAATTCCAGCAAAGAATAGATATGGTTTTAAATTCGGCAGTTCAAATCAAATCAGTTTTATACAGTTAAAGTGCAGGTAAATTCGGATATAAAATCTTTCAGAAATTTTATGACAATGACAGATTACAACTAAGTGCATCAACAAATGAAAAAGCAAGTACAGCCTCTCAAGGAAATAGTCACTCAACCCGTCACAACAGCTCAATCACTCAGCTCTCAGCTCTCAGCTCTCAGCTCTCAGCTCTCAGCTCTCAGCTCTCAGCCCTCAGTACTCACACTCAATAGGTACCTTCGCTCACTGGGGTGTGTAGACTCCGGAGGGGCTTCTTCAGCCTAAGAGCTATATTGTTGCGGCGTGCAGCCCGATCCCATAATATATAAAACGCCATAAAGCTCGTTGCGGTGTGCAGCCCGATCCATATATATATATATATATATATATATGCAGCCCTAAGGCT